AGCAAATATTACTAAATACCCTCTAAACAGTGCCGTATCGAACTTGTCGCCCACATTTGTCAGAACATCCTGTATAAACGTGAAGTCGCAATTTACATAGAAACTGGGTGTTTATTTGATGGAGGGGTTGTACAAGCTCCCCTCCAAGAGAACGTGCCCGCGATTCAAGTGATAAATGACAGCGATTTGTAACGATGAAAAATACTTACATTATATTTAGAATGTATGTCGCTGAAAGTGAAACTTTTGGAATATATTGGCCCTCGATAAAATAATAAATCAATATTTCGCGAAACGTACACAAATAAGGCTTTTTGTATGTAGCTACGGCTTGTTACTTTGGTTGCTGACGTATTAGCCACATACTTTTATAGTTCATATTGCATTTTTTATTATTAAGAATTTTATAATATTTTTATATAAAGAACATTACAGCCTAAAAAAAACTTAGGCAGAAAACAAGTCGTAGATTATAATAAACATTTGTTTCGGTATTCTCAAAATTATTTAGTTTAAGATTAAAATTAAATCGATCATTTTAATTTAAATGCGATTTATTACAAAAATAAAAAATAATATTTAAGTTTATATACCAAATTTAATATGTTATATAGAAACCTATAATTTATTTCAGAGACGTATTATCGAAGGTCTAGATGGTCTGGCGGTTAAGCACATCGTTTTACTTCCGATAGTCACAGGTTCGATTCCTCGCTCGGTACAAAGATGTCTATTCATGAGTATTATTGTTTGTATCGGTTTGGGTATTTTTATGGTATTATATATTAAGTATGCTTTTACAAAAAAATATGTATGTATGTAATTATATCAATTATTTAGTACTCACAACACAAGCTCTGCTTACTTTGTATTGTGTTCTAAATGGCGTTGTGTAAATTGTTCAAGGATATTATCATATTATTATTATTAGGTACTATTCAATTTACTATAATAAATTACTATTTAGATGTAAATATAAGATATAACCAAAACCATATTTCCGCATTGCTATTTGAGTAAAATTTATGTATCTACACGTACTTCTATATAAGTATATTCTAAAGCAAATATTTATATACTATACAACATATATTGATGGTTGAGTGCTTTCATAAATCGCTGTCATCTAGTGACTCGCACCAGTAACATGGGGTGGAACAAAGGGGGTTAATGGCGCCACCGCGACGCGCCGTGTGCGGGAAAAAAATACGCAGATCAAATTTCAAGGATTCAAGTTTAATGAAAATTACTGAAAGGTAACCAAGTAGTTAAAGGTTTTTTAATATGGTGGTAAACTGGAAATGAGGACTATGATGAATAGACCTAGTTAATACTACCTAGATTGGGTACAGACTACTATATGAGTAGTGTATGAGTACTACTACCTATGGGTAGGTTCAGACTACTTTACTGTACTACTCATATTAATGATATTCATTCAACTATGAGTAGATCAGTAGAGCAGTCGGCTTCATAAACATATTAGATGATATACATACATTAGCTCGCGGTTTCGATTCCGTGATCGGAATAAAGTAGCCTATGTTCTTCTTTATTCTTAATAGTACGTGTAGTATTATTATATATTGAAGTGTAGTAGTTGAACAAGTAAATAAATTGAATGTTCAACTACTACATTTATTATTATATTTTTTTATTGATATTGCCATACACGTACTATTAAGAATGAAGAAGAACATAGGCTACTTTATTCCGATTACGGAAACGAAACCACTTATATAAAGAAAACGAAAACTTTTATAATAAAATAACTATGAGTAATAGTTATTCCATGGTATTATCAACTATTATATTCGTTATTTATATTAAAAAATATATAATACATATTTTTTTGTTTCATGTATTTCTTCGTCCTTCTTCGTTCTACAATTTAGGTAAGTAAACGAAACATACAATAAAGTATTGATAATATGAAATGTACTATATTTTTACAGATATATAATTGTTATTATGTTTCTACTCCAAATCAATTTGGTGAAGTAAAATATATTAACTATAAAAGTTTAATGTAATTATTATTATTATAAGGTAATAAAATATTTCCTTATTGGTAATACGATTATTCAATAGATTTGTTATTCCAATTATTGAATATTTTAAAACATATTTAACAAATTTATTGATATTCCACATCTAATCGAAAAAAGCACATAGTTTTCAAATGTAATAAATACAAATATACTCGTAAAAAGCAGATTTCACACCAACGGCTATTCTCTATTTAGAAATGAGTAGTATTAATAGAATAATTAGTTAAATTATTAATGTATCTGAAAATATTCCATGTGTAATTATGCAAGTTCAATATCTAATCGAAAGGAGCACATAAATGAATTACATCAATATTATAAACACGAAGAATAGGTTATTTTCATAATGAATAAATGAAAAAATAACGAATCAATTTATCATATCGCCTATAGAAAGCTATATTGACAGATAGATTTACCAAATTATAAACTTACTAGTTACTGCCCCGGCTTCGCCTAGGTTTACATGTATTATATATATAAACGTTCCTCTAGAATCACTCTATCTATTTAAAAAATCCTCTTCAAAATCCGTTGCGTAGTTTTAAAGATTTAAGCATACATAGGGACGGACAGACAGCGACAGCGACTTTTTTTTATACTATGTAATGATAGTATAGTGAATAGTACATTTTTTTAATTTATAGTTCCTTGCAAAATCACCACGCGTGCAAAGCAAATGTTAGCTACTTAATGGAATGGTAGCGTATTATTTAAATAAACAGATATACAACAATTTCTTTAAAAACCATTTCAATATTAAAACTTACGAAGTGTACCAAGAATATTTTTGTCTTGTTACAATCTTTGGATAAAGGCATAGTACATACAATATAATGCCATTGTCATAGAGCCTTCATGAACTATATCTATTCCACACAGAATGTGTGTGTATTATTCTGTGCTATTGTCCACTGAAGCAGTTATATTTTATCGATGCGGATTAATATAATACGTAGAGGACTTTACGCATATACCTACTAAACAACTATACTACTTATATTAATGTAATATTGAAACTAGGTATAAGTGAAATCATTATATTAGTCCTTAGCTATGTGGTCATGAAGACTGAATACGTCATTACTTTCTTATCATCCCTTATTTTTGTTCTTATTTCAAGAAGATACTAAGGAAATAAATAAATAAATAGGTATGCTCAAAAGAAAACCCTAAGCGGCATACAGCATAGTAGGCTGAATTCTTCTCCTAATTGCGGAGATTTATCAGATGCTGTATATTCAAGATAGTTTGGCAACAATATGCCAATTACAAATTTGCGTTCAAACTGACTAATCACTTCTTTTGTCTTTTAAATGTTACAGTACTAAATCAGTGCTCCTGTAAAAACAACCTTGTTTACATAAATATCCAACACCGTGTATGCCTGTATAAGAATATGGCATAATACAACCACGTAAAATTTAAATACTGTTATTATTTATAACTGGTACATACTTAATAAAATATATTTACTATAAGTACATAATGTGTATAAATCAGAAACTATTTGCTACTAAAATGTGCATCAAAACAAATTCATTGATACATGGTACGCTTGAACTTGAGTCCGCCATTTCTTTTTTATCGGCTACGAAAATCTAATGCAATCCAGATGAAATACGCAAGATTGCATCTTTAGTTTAAATTTATGACTTACAATCTTAGTTTAAATATATTTTCTTATACAAAAGCTGAACTTTTATATTATTCATTCAGAAAGATGTCAATTTAAAAGTATGAGACTTTATACTTTCTAACGCACATTAGAATTATTAAAGTCAGTAATGATGCTTCACAAATATTTAAGATATTGCTCATTATTTCAAATAACTGGATATTTTCCGTGAGTTTGTTTTTTATGATAATCGTTGTATTGTTACAAGTATCCCTTCTATAGTAAGCAACTGTGAAAAAATTAAAAAAATCAGGCGTATAAATTCCGTACTTGACTCCTATAGCACTCAATGAAATACGATATTTAAACGTATAAAAATGAACTATATGCTTTTTCGAATAGATATAATTAGTAAGTTTTATTATTCTTTTAAAATTGCTAATTAAGTGCAGAGTAGCTATAGATAAATTAGTTTTTATTAAGCAATTATTATATATTAATTCATAATTAATCAGCTTAATAATGTTTCAGAATCATATATTTTATTACTTCGCTTCTGAATTACCTATGTATTATGAACCTTTAAAAGTAGATAGCGTAGAATTCAGTAGTTATAGGTTTTTGATGGTGTTCCTCTTTGCAGTCATTTTATTATCTTTATACAGTACGCCGTTAAATGGATATAAACTGCAGTCGGTAGAATACCGGTTACAAGTTAATGGGTGCACAGATTCAACCATTATATTTATTGTCTTCTAGAACAATATAGCGTTAAAACGCTTTATATAGCTAATGATTTTATATAGCCCTAATTCTGAAAATATGTCATGTAACTGTAGGCTGTGCAGTCATTGACACAATAGGAGTATAATTAACTTGCCCCCTTTTGTTATGTATGGTCCATAGACAATAACAATAGTTATCATCACTTTGTATACGACTACCACATTTTATATCCACTGATATACGAAATACTACTATTACTACCAACTACTATACTATCATATATAAAAAATAATTTAATAGTAAGAACAATCCTACAAATCAAAAGATCCACACAATTATCATAAATGTTCTTTAATTTTGAACTTTAAAATTATAATTTCTTATTTTTATTTGTGTTTTTTAACAAACTTAAATATTTGATCTTTTCTTTCAAAATTATTCCGTTATTTTGAATGCATTATTTAGCTTTAATGCAGCATAAAGCTCATTTTATTACCTGATGTAAAGTTATTTCCCTGCAAATGGCAGCTGTAGGTTCTGAAGATAACTTTTATGGAGAGAGAATGCTGGAGACGCGGGATTAATGTCATATTTTATTATTTCAGACCGAGTGACGTTTAAGCCTGAGAGTAAGTTGGTAATTTTGTGAGAAATATTTGTGTTTAGTAGGAACACTGGGATTATTCTGGATTTCTGAACGATTAAAAAAATAACATACAACAGTCTAATACATTTTTATTAAAAGAAACTAAGTATTTATTATTAATTGACTAAGTTAAAGATACCCTATTATTTACATAATATTTAATAGGTAAGTGGAAAATTTTGCCACCTTTTACAAAGTTGTTTAATTGTGCTAAAATACTGATTTAAAATAAAATATTCACCTTTTAAAAGGCATAATTTTTATCAGTGTCAAAATATGATTACATCTCCAAACTTTGTACTTTCATTTTCTAAATACTTCAATAATCATACAAAATTTTATATTTAAATTTAGTATAGTTGCTATATATAAACAATTAATTAAAGCGAAATGACAAAGAATAATAAAACCACAAGATATAAATTATAAATATAGAAAAACTTAACAGCTAAAATGTTGACAAAGTTATACTTAAGGATTTAACAGTGAAACAATAAGTCACAGACAATAGCTCAGAATCCAGAATATGCCAGCGCTTTATTGAATCGCTAGATTTAGAACTAATGCTTCATCGTTGCCTTCGTATAGAATTAGTAGGAACATTCAGCTTGAGTAGGATTGAATATTCAACGTTTAATAACCGAATAGATTAGTTGTGACTTTACTAAACAGATTTCATATTTTACTATAAATATTTGATTAAAATCCAAACATTTTTATGTTTCATTGTCTTCAAAAACTAATAATATGTAGATGAAAAATTTCATGGTTTTAAAATGTATCTAAAAACTTGTTTCTCCTCTAGAAAGGTGCTTTAGGTAGTTATTTAAGGTACCTATCTATAATTGTTTTCTTGCAAAGTCGGGATAGGTTGTTAGTGTTTAATAATAAAAAACAGTTCTCTTTACAAACAGAAACAATTGCGGAAAGAAAATATGCAAATAGCATACTTACGAGTAAGTATAAGCTCATATTGAAATATTTTCATTAAACAATATTTCTAGCGACGGTCTTTTTAATACTTTGTTCAATTATGTAGTCATTAAAAAACAAGTTTGAGACAACAGAATAAATTTGTGGAAAGTCATCTGCTTGCCGTCAAGCAGCTTGCTTTGTGAGATGTTTCGGTTAAAGAGTAATATAGCAGTGAAATTATAGGATGAGAGTCATAACATCTTAGTCCTTGAAACTAACTCATAAGTGGTATCTCGGGCGTCACATGATAAATATATGTATAGTCTAGCTGTAATGTAGTAGCTGACGGTTACCAATATTACCTTAGCCACTTTCCATCCGGTGGACCTTAGCTTGTTTGCCATTCCAATTATATAAAAAAAAGACTACTGTATAATTGTGTATACAAAAGACTTACAGAAGGGGTGAATATAATTAAATATAAAACATATGAAGTGTGAATAAATATGTTATTGATGAAATCCGGTCGCCCCGGCTTGTAAGAATATTTTCCTATACACTGGAGAAAAATAAAATCAAGAATATATTTTAGAATATTTGATTTTCTTTTTCCTGCTATGTATAGGATTACACCTCTCCATCTGAAGGTTGCGTGGAAGATATAGCATTTAGTGATAAGGCCGCCCTTTTCTCAACATTGTAACTTGTATTTTTTTCTGTAATGTAATCTAATTGGAAAGAACAATAAGGAGCACATACGTAGCGTATCTGTATGTAACTTGAATAAAATTGATTACCATAAATTTAATATTTGATAGAAATTACTGGATATGTTTCAGTTGGTATTAAACTAAAAACGAAGGCAACAAACAAGGCTAGTGCAGCAAATAATAAAAAGTTTTCATGCAAAATATGCTTACGAGTAGATCAACATGTAGTCGCGTAATACTAACATAGAAACTATGGCAGCTATATTAAATATATTAAATAGAAACTGTTTTAATATGTATTTAATTAATACTACATATTAATTAAGATAATGAATATACTACATATATACGTATGTATGCCTAATACAATTTGAGGTACGGACCATTGCAGGAACTTGCCATAGACTATATAATAAAAAAGTATCATTATTTTTTTATTTTCACCGCAAGTATGTGAACTCCGTTAGTTTATTATTTATCTCACAAATTGTAAACAGAACACAAATCGCCGCAATTGAACTGTTCACAATTTGATTGTTTAATATGGATAGGTTATGAAAATTAGTACTTTATACTATAAGCAGTATAGCTCACAGTGATTTACAATCTTACGGTGAAATATATATATATATATATATATATACAGTATAACACAATCAATCATCGACATGAAAAATATGACAAAACAATTCGTGACTCAAAGAATGCGAGGTGACAATCTTTGTTATTCTGTCACAGCTTTTATACTACGTGTATATAAATTATTAAAAAAATATATACGTAGTATGATTTTATAGTCTGTATATAATATACAGTTGTATGAGGAACATTTGGAGGGCGTGAGACACGTCAAACAGACATGTCATATGTCTCGTGTGTCGTGTCGCGGTCGCCTGTCTCAGCCTGTCTCGGTTTCATACCTCAAATTGTATCTTAGAGATGCCAAGTATTAACGACTATGGATCAAAAATTTTCAGATATAATATATGTACATACAGATGTATCATATAATATTGTTAACAACATATATTGCGACTTCAGTTTTGGTAGAGCCAGCTTGCCAGTGTAACGCTATTACAAACGGTCTCTTATTTATTACATTGAAACTATATTTTACAATTATCTAGAATCACTTAACAGTGGAGATATTAACTAAAGTTTTGACAGTTGCGGTTGCAAACTCTTACAATATTTGCAACCCCAACTGTCAAAACTTTATAAATGAAATTTGTTTAAAATAAAACAGTAAAACAAACATTTCAACCATCTTTACACGACTGGCTCCAACACAAAAACCACGTTTCATAAAGGTATATACATGTAAGAAAACGTAGGCAATTTTAGTCTACAAGCTCTACAGGTAAAATTACGTGTAGAAACGCGATGTTAGCTGATGCCGGACCTGTATACAAAAAGCAATATATTCTCTTTCTAATAATCATTAACACTTCAGCCTTAGAGAAGCAAATGACCCTCATTTATATATACGAGGAAATACAAACTGCCTACCGTCCGCGCTCTACAAAATAAGCGTTGTGCACTGCCAATAAGCTACCAAATGTTGGCAAAGGAAATTTGTACTTTATATTTATACAAATAAGGATTATTTTGCTTCTATACTACGAAAAAATGTTAATGATTGTAGAAATAGATGATACGTGACGTCCACAGGCACCATGTCAAAAATAGCCTATTATTAAATTTATAGAATCGCAAGTAATTTTAAGCTTATTGCTTATTGTTTAGATCTAACCAATAAGCTTGTAGTGAAGCTGCGACTTAACATTATTTGACACTAGAGGAATAACAGCAACCCACGTGTGTAGATTAGTTAATATTATAGTATTAGAAGAATCAATAATAACATACTTGCTAAAAATTAATACTTAATTGAATATTATTATTAAGTTATTATTTTACAACATAGTAAGAAGCATTAGCACCACATTGGATTCAAATATAATTACGGAAATATAGGTAGGTACTATAAGTACTGGGTTTACAAGAATATCGTTAATTTCTACAATGTCTCTAGCTACGACCTATGGGTTAAAGTGGTAATATATCTTTTTATATTATATTTATGTTTATTTATTATATAAAATGTAATCTGCATAGCTTTTTAGACCCATCAGATATTTTATTTAAACTATTACATTTATTTGGTACACCTGACTTACAAAATAAGTGCAACTAAAATAAATACACTACCTCCACTTATTTATGCAGTGGATCTGTACTTTCCTTACTCACAATATCGATGGTGTTCTGCCATGGTAATAACCTGTCAGTCAAATGCCTGTTCTTGAGGAGTGCTACCCTTCGAAAAGTATACGACGTAAGGCTGAGGTCCTTTTAAAAAAAATATATGGTCAGTGAGAAATAAAATTGATATTGGAAGTCTGCTGGAGTATCACCATGCCATGTGAAGAGCCATCGGCATTGTCCTCAGGTAAGTAAATATCCTATCCTAAACGAGTGGCGATGTTAAATTTTCAACTCCCGGTAACCCAGTTTTAAGTTATCGAAAAAATTTTTTTTCCATATGTTAATTGAGCGGCAACACTATTGTGCATATAAAAGTCTTAAACATGTTTGTATACTACAGATATATTTCAATTATTTAAATTATTGAATATTGTTAAATTGTACAGTATGGTAAGAATATATATAAACATCAGGATTACATTTGTAATTAAAAGTATAAATTAATTATTTTATCACAGATGAACCCAGTAGCTATGGTTGCATTTGGTTTTCGTTTTAGGTTACTATGATGTCGCGTGATATCATATTTCACATCCAAGGTTTCTTTTTTCTTGGTTATCCCTTCTCATTTATCGAGATAAAACACAACTCATATGAAAACCTATTTATAATAAAAAATAACAACAAAAATCCTATGGCTCCCAATAAGCAGGCTAGATTATTTTGTGAGATATTCTTGGTAGTTACTATTCTTATATAATATAGACTATAGTAACTATATTCCATCAGGAAGATTGTCAACTTGTTTGTCTTTCCAGTTAAAAAGTAACTAACTGACTCGATTCAATCATGAAAACTGCAATAAACTAACGACATTAAATATAGTTTTCCTAAACTATTTAAGTCGAGGTTACGAAGGTAATAAAATATTTCCCATATAGATAAAGTATTTCTCTCCCGATGAACCGCAATAAAAGAGGTAGTCTCATAAATAAATAGGTCAACGATATCATAAAACTAGCTGAACTTTTGTGTCGAGTCGCCTAGTTGTTTCGTGTTCCGAGGTTGCAGCTAGTGAAATGTTACATATTACTGACAGGGCTAATGTCCTAACAACATTGTTTGACAGAAATGTTCTGTTAATGATGCT